GTTATTTATGTTTTTAAATAATAAATGTAACTGAAATAAATGTAATTAGTGTTTTAAAAATTAGAAAAAAATTATATATTAATTTTAAATATGTTTAACAACATAAAATTTAATTAAAAAAATAAATAAATAAATCGGAAAGTAGGCTAAAATGTGTAAGGGAAAAACGTGTTTCTATTCTGGCTCCTAACTTATTTAGGGCTTAAATATATTTATTTTGGCACAAACACTTCATATTATTTCCGCTATTTTCGACTTTAGATACATATTTATTTATATTTAACTTTAATTTATTCCCACAACTCCTCACATCCCTTTAATTACTCACTAATTTATTTTTATTAATTAAACTTTCATATAAATTCAAGCAGCTTTTAACTCGAATTCGCATTAAAATTTATCATTTTCTAAGGTTTATCATAAATTGAAGAAAAGGCATTCAAATAATAGTAATTTTAAGCCGGTACTTATTTGCGCTATACGAGTGTAGCGCTATTTACGGGGGCGTTACATCGAAGTTCAAATAAATAATATTATATAGAGCTTCTACATGAAATTTTCACTAAAATATCTCATTTTAAATGATTTTATTGAAGGAAAAAGGCATTTATATAATAAGCCAATACTTACGAGGGTAGCGCTATTTGAAAGCGCTATAATGAGTTTTCACTGTATAATGATTTACGCAGCTTTTATGAGATTTTCGTTGAATTTTATCATTTTTTTACTAAAGGAGAATGCTTCTAAATATCCAATTTTAAGCAAAATTCATATAAATTTTACATTTAAAAAAATATATAATATTTTAATTATAGAATATTGTTTAATATATTTGAAATAAATTCTCAAAATTAACAATAATTGAACAGAAATTAATATTAAATTGAAGAATGTGCGACTAGAACTTTGATACAGTTTGTGATTCTTGAAAGGTCAAGGCTTTCAACAGAACATTGGTTCAAAGGTTGAATTTTTCACAGAAACAAAAACACGATGCTTGCTCCAACGTCGAAAATCATTTATTAATTATTAATTAACACGTTAATTCTTTAATCCCCTCCAAAAAAAAATTCCAATTTATCAACTTTAACTTTAATTAATTCAATGAAAAAATCAGGAGCATTGCTGATTAGTATCTAATTGAAAAAAGTATCGTATCACCTTAAATTTATAGCTTTATACAGCTTAAAAAATTCCTAAATAATCAGAAGCATGCTTAATTATATTTAAGTATAGAATAACAGACTTGTTAAGACGTTTTATTATAATTAAACACACTAATTCTGTTGAATTTTCTTAAGGAATTTAATATTCAATGTTCTCTTCAAATATTTTCGAATTAAAATGTCCTATATTTTCTTTAATTTTTACTTTTAATTCATTCTTCCATATTAAATTTAATTTCATGCATTATTCTGTATAAAGAGAATAAAGAGAAAATATTTTTCTCTGTTCCAGCTTCCTTTTTTATAGAGAAAAATTAAATTAATTAATCAATTAAAATTAATTCAAATTTAAAAAAAAATAGTTTATTTCTTTCCTCACACAATATAATTAATAATTATAATATTTTTTTATGTTAAATTTTTATAAGTTTGTGTATAATTTCTTACACATTATGCATAGAAAGGGATGAAGATGGAGTAAAACATTATCTTCATCCCTTTCTATGGACGAAAATTGGCTAATTAAAATTAAAAATATTGTTTTTATCTCTTCAATTTTTGGTCTATAATCATTATAAAATCAATTTATAATTTAAAAGACAGTTATATTTATAAAAATCAAGTATTTATAACTGCTAATCTCCATTATATAAAATGAAACCATTAATTTTCTCCACTCTTAATGATGTTTTAATTAAATTAATGAATTAAAAATGTGAAAAATAAAATTAAAAAATCAAGAGCGAGATGAAATTATAAACATAATTTTATAAGAGCAGACATACAGACAAACTCACTAATTTATTATTAATTAGAAAAAAAGTTGCATATATTTAGATATAACCAAAATAAAGAATATAATTTATATTTTAATCATTGTTAATTAATTAATCAGATTAAATTTTCTATAAACAGGGAGGTCCAAAAATTAGTTAACTTTAAGTGTTAAATGACTTTTGGGCCACCCTGTATTGCAAATATAAATTTAATCATTATTGATTTATAATTTAAATACAGTGACCCAAAAGTAGATTCACCGAGTTATAAGAAAAATCAATTGAATGAGTTAACTGATTTATAGCCCATCCTCTACACTTCTTATTTAAAAAAAAATTAAATTAATTGTATATACAATTTTATTATTTTTAATGTTTTTAGAGTTAATTTATATAAAATTTCCACGAAAGTCGAAGTCATTGTCCTATTTTTCAATACGAACTTTGTACTTTTATAAATATAAAAATATCTATTTATATTTAATAATAATTATAGTAAAAATTAAAAAAAATTAAATTTAAAAATATTTTTTCTAACTT